TTTCTACTACCTACGGTCTAACAGCCTTCTCTTGTTCATACAGAAAAGCCATATTAGAAAATAATCAACAAACAGAAGACTGGGCTTGAGTCTAGAAATACTGTATATCAATGTTATTTCCAGAGGCTTTTTTTTTTTATTTACGATTAAGCTCAGAGGAATCTGAAACTTCACCTCTAACAGGGACTCGACACCCAAAATTACCTACTCAGTACTTCTTAGGAACTTTTAGCAATTCTGGTATTTCTGAACCCTCATTTTCAATCAAAGATGTCCATAACCCTTAAGAAATTAACTGAACCAGGAAAAAGCTGACCTTAAGAATACAGAAGTTTGAAAGAAAATATTTTATTTTAAAACTTGTTCGTTTTGGCAATACTTTTCAAAATATTATAAAACATTGGGTATATTAGATCACGACTTATGTGGGCAAATTCAACAGCTACCTTCTGTTTAAATTGTTTGAAGGACACTTATTCTTTGCTGAAATGCAAGCTTTGTTTATATGTTGATTCAGAACTTTAATTTTTCTGACTATGACCATTTTTCACAAATAAGACAACTGTTTCACACAAAATGAGGCATTTTTATTGTCCTACCTTAATAGATTTGAACAGTATAAAATTTACTCTAAAAAGGCATCTTCCTAAATTTAACTTTCAAGCTGAATATAAACATGGCAAAAACACTTAAAACATGGCAAAAATGCTTAAAGTGTCATTTAACTTAGCTACAACACGAAAATAAACATAAAAAACAAAAATTAGGACAAGGCCCCCAAGATCTTCATTGAAAATGAAGTCTCCCAAAGTGTAGGAACTATCCTGGCTTTTAAAATTCTGAAGCCAGAAGTTGCATTCTGAATGCAAGTTATTAATGAACCAATTTACTCAACATAAACCAATAAATATCTACCTATTTATAAAAACGAAGTGATGGTATCTGAATATGGGATGAAACTTATACAGTTTCAAGCCCCAAAACATGCAAGCATCATTAGCAATTTAAAGCCAACTTATACAAACCACCACTGGAAGTGGTATAAGAAACTTCCTTTACCAATATCAAAGTAGCAGTTGGATTTATACCCTCCATCCCTCCAGTGACCTAAAATTAGGTATTTCCATCTAAAGTTTATTTTCTACCTTACCCACAACCCCAGGAAAAAGGAAAAAAAAAAAGAGAATCCAAGAATTTAAGAATAAAATATGGAAATGCATGATTTGGGTGTATTTTGGGACATGTACCTTTTTTTTTAATCTCCCCATTTTACTCCTTTTCATATGCAACACGTGCATACACACACACCTTTTTGCTAAAGAATTCAGAATGACTTACAGATTAGAAAGCCCATCATCATGACCATATCTAGAGTACACAGAACAGAAATGCTTAGAAACAATTTGGTGAATGGTAAATCTTAGATTGGAAATGAGGTCATCTCACACCTCAGCTGCTCAAAATCTCCAGTGTATCTGTTCATTATTACCTTTCAGTGTTCTTTGGAGGTCACAGAACCTACTAAAAAATACCTGTGTGCTGTTTGTATTAAAGAACAAGGGTGCAATAGTATGCATTTTTAATGGAAATGGAAAACTCTGAGGGGAATCAACTTTTAAAGTCACAGACCTCCAAGATAAATTGTCATGGGAAAATACCAAATTTATTTTCAGGGATAAAGATTTGGAAAGCATGGGTATAGACAGAAAAAGGCATCATATTATTTAGTGAACTTCTCCCCGTTTCCTCTAAAGTGTAATCACATAAAACACTTTAAATTATTGATAATGGCTTATAATCTTCCTTTGCTTGAAATTAACGTCTATTCCATCGTACTCTTCAAATAAAATGAACAAATGCAATATTCAGCATATACTTCCTCAAACCATTAATCTTCCTTTGAAACTGCAAAAGGGAGCAGTCGTCTATAATATATAATATATATATAATAATATATAATATAGTCATCTATAAACTAAAAGAGTTCTTGTTTGTTATGAAAACCTACAAGAAACAACTGAAAATACCCAGCGTGGTCAGCACAGGGAATTCCTGGAAGGGTGATGGTGCATCAAAAGGCTAGCAACTCTGTTCCAACAGAATACTACAAACCGCTTAAAGGACTGTAAACTCAGCATCAACGGCGTTTCCGGTAGGAACACATTTCTAAAATTCCACCTCCAGTTTACTTCTTCATGACACAAACCAAAAGAACTCCTATCTGGATAGCTAGCTATTGCAAATATTTCATACAAAATGGTAATCAGTTGCTAGGATAAAAGGCCAGAATTCATTTTCTCTGCTTAGAACTTAAACAGTTTAACTTTCAGAGAATAATATTAATTAGGAGGTATGAAAGAAAAAAAACTGTCCTCACCATTCCAAAGGTAAACTTTAAAAAAATTATTCCGTGAACATGTTGAGCTAATGAACATAAACTGTAAAACAGTACACAATACTCATTTTTAGTGACAAAACACCCCACATTTCATGTCTTTTTTTAAGCCCATCAAATTGCCAAAAGTCCCACTACATTTACAACAAAAAGTATTTGCAGTAGTAAATTGGAATGAGGTAAAATATTAAAACTACCTAAGCCTAAATGGATTGCTCAATAACATTCTTTCAAATGGTCCTGACCCATTGAGGAAATGAGACTATGAATGGGAAATTTGATTAAGTTAAAATTACCATTGAGTTCTTTAAAATGTACTAATGAATAATTAACAGCAAATGCAGTTCCTAGGCTTCCCTTACAACATCCCCAAGTAGAACTGAAAGGAATGTCTGCAGCAAAAATCCATAACCAATGTGTTATGCACAGGTGGGTACCCGAAGTAAACACACATAGAAAGCATAATGAAAATACACACCCTAAGATGGGCTTTAACACACATCTGAGATTAAGTAAAAAAAATCAGCATGGTGAATTTTAGATCAGCGTTTACAACACTCATACATTAATAACGAAACCAAATCTCCTAAAAAGCTTAAAAAGTCAAACATTAAATAAATCTTTTGTTCCTATGATACTGTCTCCTTTTACCTTAACTGGATTCCAGCCTCCTCCTTTGTGACATAGGATTTTATTGATCTCAAACATGTTCACTTTCAGAAATTAGTCTCCAAAGACATCCCACGGGACTGCCAGCCACCTAGATACCACACATCCCATACATCTTAAAAAAGGACAAGAGCTTTTAAAACATATCACTATTTGGCCAGCACCACGTGAAGTTAACCAAGCTCTCTTCCTAACAGACTTTTCCCTCAACTGGTAAAAATACCAGATCTACGGAATTGGCAATAAATGTTTGATAAGTTAATAAATGTATGAAGGCGCAAATCCACCCCAAATCAAGGTTTCTCCCCTTCTCCAGCTCCTCGTTCATTCAACAATTGAGCGCCTCAAAGACCTGTTTTCAGGTTACTTTCCTCACACCTGCCAGGTCACTGTCCTGATTGAGAAACTTCTTGCTGAAGCAATTAATTTTTAGTGCCTCCTAACTGTCCCGAGTGTTTGCATTCAACTTGAAATCTGTTACTTGTTAGACACTGTTCGGTCCTAGATCTTTCAGGGAATTGCGAGTTTATGGCGCACAGAGGGGAGGAGGCACGATCTCCAAAGGCCTGCCCTTTATTCGGAAACGAGATGTGAAAGGTGGAAGGCAGGGCAAATAAATAAATAAATCGGGTTTGCAGCCGGAGCGTTTGCCGGCCTGTATGAGCACCCTTTGTAATGCAGGCCTCCCGGGGCTATAGCCTGCGCTAATTGCTCCAGGGCGCTTTCCAAGTTCAAAAGTTCACCTTTTACGACCTCACAAAAGCTCCTTACACGTTACCAATAAAAACATTCCGCGGCAAACACCGAGGGGGAAAATATCAAACAGATACAAATAAAACCCCCCGCAGGGGGAGGAGCCCGGGGAAGGCGGGCGAGTCAGCCCCGGAGCCAGCCCGGAGGAACCTGAGGACTTGGCCCGGAGGTGGGGGCAGGGGAAGAGCGGTAGGAAGGGCCAGGCCAGGCCAGGTAAGGAATTCTCAGGGCCTGGGGTCCGGGATCGCGAAAGCGAAAAGAACCGAGGTGGGGCAAGCGCGGACCGGGACCGGCCGGTAGGGGGGAACAGGCAGGTGTCCCTAGCGCCGGATCGGACCGGAGGTGTGAGCCAGAAGAAAGTCGTCGCCCAAGGGGGGCTGAGCGGGGGCGGAAGCAGGCAGGGGAGCGTGGGGAACGAGCAGAGAGGCTCCGGGTGTGGGGCGGGCACCAAGAGGTCCGCCAACGACACGCCGAGCGGGCAGCTCGCCCACTGGGTCGGCACAGAGGCGGAGGCTCGCAGTAGAACGGGGGTAGCCCGGGAAGCGCAGGACTGCAGACGCGAAGGCAAGGGGCTCCGTAAAGGTGAGGGGCAGGGGGAACCCAGGGGACGAGGGTGTGGCATCCGCAGGGTGAGGAGGCAGCTCCGCGGGGGGGACGGACGACCCGCGTGGGGAGCGCAGAGAGGCCCGGGGAGGAGAAGGACCCGGCTCTGAAGGGACCCTTCGGAGGAGAATCCTCCGCGGAGGAGACCCCGGGGGTGAAGAAGGGCGCTTCTGAGCAGAGGGGACCCGAGGGGGTCGCGAGGCTGAGGCTGGTGGAGAATCCGCGCCGAGGGGATGGGGAAAGTTGGGGGGAGGCTAGACGCTAAGAAGACGGGGGGAGGGAGAGGGGTTCCGCTGAGGGGACGGGGGAAGGGAGGCCTGCGGGGAGGGTTCAGAGGAGAGGGGAAATGAAGGTCGTGGGGTGGGAACCGGCAGGAGGATCCGCGCTGAGGGGAACCGGGAAGGAGGGGGAGGGGAGGGAGGGTCCGCGCTGCGGGGACCGGGGTGAAGGTCCACGCTGAGGGAACCCGGGGCCGCCGCGGCTTCCCCGAGCGCGAGTCGGCTGAGAGGAGAGGGCTCCCGGGGTACGGGCACAGGGGCTAGCTCCTCCTGGGCCGGGGCTCCGCGTGCCCCTTACCCACCGTTGCGCGGCGGCGGAGGGAGCGCGGCGGGCGGCTCCAGGAACCCCGCCGAGCCCCCGCCGCCTCCCCCTCCGCTAGGCGGTCGTTCGTCCCGCTCCATGCGGTGGTGCTCAGGGCCCGCGCTCGGCTCGCTGCTCCGCCATGACCGACGCCCTCGTTGTCGTCGTCGTCGTCCGCCTAGGGGGAGGAGGCTGTCAGGGGCCGGCGGGCTCCTGGCCGCGGCGCTCACTGGGCCCCGGGCCGCCCGGCTCCGCGCCCCTCCGCGCCGCGCCCCCTCAGCACTGGCCAGCTCCCTCCCCCGACGTCACGCGCCTCTGCCTCGCACGGCCCTGCGGGGCACGCTGGGAACTGAAGTCCGCCGCGCGAGGCGGGCCACGCGGCACCCCGCCGATTGAAGGGATGGAAAAAAGGATAAACAGCCCTGAGAAGGGAAAGCCAAAGCCTGCCAATATCGCAAACCCTCATAAAAACTTGTGGTAACAATTTAACAAAGATTCCTTCAGGTCCTTCTCTTTATTGTGCTTTGTCCATTGTGAACGTTTCCCACGACATCTCGTATCCCCCCGCCCCGACAATGAGTCTTCCCTAGGAGGCGGATCGCGGAGCCGGGAGAGCACGTGCAATGAAGCCCAGCCCAGTGGGCGGGGATCACGAGGGGAGGGGCTTGGAGGTATTCTCTGGGGCCTTCCTCCGCGGCTTCGGGACAAATTGGACCTGAGATTAAAGGACCGGTGTTTAGCTCGAGGTGACTGCGTTCGTATGCAAATGGACTCTATAAAACTCTGCTTTCCGGCGTACTCTTTAGAGCCTTTTACCTCCGGGTGGGCGGGAAAGACTCAAGTTTCTCTTCCTCCCCTCGCATTTTCCCCCTGCCGGTTGAGCATAATGGCAAACTAAACTCCGAGCCATTGATTACATTAAAGAAACTCAGTCTCACTAATTCCTGATGTCTTGAAGCCTGCCGTTTGAGAGGCTCCTTACCCAGCCTTGTTCACCTTCCTTTCTCCTTAGTCTCTCTCTCTCTGTAAAATTGGGTTGGAATAGGGACGAAGTTCAAATGAACATCCCAAATCCCCCGCTTCCCGCCTCAGTTTCGCGGAGCAAAATACCGACTTTTCAGTCACCGCTGCTCTTAGCCGAGCCCACCTCCTGATGCCACCAGGTGGCGCGCGGCCACCAGCGTCTGCGCCTGTCGAAGCGTCCGCAGTCAGCGACCCTTTCAGAGAAAGGCTCGTCGTGGCTGCCGCCCACGGTCTAAATAAGCCCTACCTGGCCTAGACAAAGAACAAGATCGCGGGTGCCTTGCCTGCCTCTACTCTGCCGGGCTGGGCTGCAGCTTCCTCACTAGCTGCCCATTCCCCACCTTGTCCCACCAATCCGTTGAACCGTCTACATCAATCCCCCATTTGATTTTTTTAGAGTCCTCATCCTGACGTTCGCACCCCTGCCTGGTCTGATCCCTACCCACATTTCTCATCACACCCCTTTCTTCACCTGCTGCATAGGATCTTTTTTGATGGTTCTCTGCACTTTGCGGGTGACTGTACCTTACCAATATTGGTTAACCCGTATTGCATTCTTAATCTGTGTCAGCCACTGTTCTGAAAGATTTACATTAACGCTATGTTGACTAAACCTCACACCTCTATGAGGTAGCTCCAATATTGTCCCCATCATACACTGATGAAGTCACCCAGCAGTGGTGGGGATTCCAAACCCAGTCAGTCAGACACCAGAACCAGAACCCTTGGCTTCTTAAAGCTGGAATACTGATGGCTTCACCCAACCCACTCCCAAACTCCTGTTCATCTTTCAAGATCTGTTCAAATATCTCCTCAGGGATACCTTCCTTAATACCTCCCACCAGGGGACATCTAGATCCCCTCTGTTTTTTGCAGCTCTGTTGAGTTCTCTGTAGACTCTGAGAAATGATCTCTCCATTGCTTCCCCTCTACCATTCCCCGGAGGGAGAGAAGGGAGAGTGTGGAGGATGGGTCCTCTGGGCCATACCCTCAGCTCTGGCCTCTAAAACTATGAGGATCACGTGGCCTTCCTGGGGCCAGAACTTCCCTTTTCAGCACAGGCTCCTGGAGTTAGTGAGTTCCCCTTCCCTGGACATCCAATCAGGGGCTAAGTAACACTGTTGAGACCTGAAGGCTTGGGATGTCAGTGGTAGAGTCTAAACTGACCCTTCAAGATGGGCAGAAAAGTTCAGCCAAATGCTCAGTCCTTGGAAAAAAACCTCCTCCTTATTCTTTAGACTTCAGCCCTATTGTCTCTTCCTCCCAAAGCCTTTCTAGGTCTCCCTGACTAATCAAATCCCTTTATTCGCTCACCATTATAACCCCAACTGCTGAGCACAAGACCTGAACTTAGCAGACAAATTGCTGAGGGTAAAAATGAATAAACATCTAACTTTTCTGCATAATAGCTGAGCTTGGGGATATTACCTCTGAGCCCCAAAGTCCTGGTTTCTAAGGTGAGAAAGATAATAATAGTTGCTACTTCATAGGATTACTAAATAAGATGAGAATTAAATAAGATGATGCATGCAAAGCAATTACTATAAGGCCTTCCTAGTAAATGGGGTCTGTTACATTGTTTAAAGAGTGGTCCTAATGCCCAGTTACCTCTCTTCTGAAAATGCTTCTTGGGAAGGGTACACAAAACTGAGAAAGGTGAGAGAAATGATAATGTACGGATTCCCCAGCCACTGTCCTAGACATACAGGGTCCTGTGAGGTAGGCAGTTAACTATATGTCCAGCACCTATTATGGGGCCTTTTCCCTACAGTGTCCCCCCACAATCCTGAGAAGTCAGTACTTTACCCCAATGATATAATGAGTCATAAGAAATTGATATCTGATCATTCCATATGACCAAATATGTATTTCCCAGGTATATTTGGTCTTCATCCACAGTTCCTGAAAATATTGCAGAGTCTTAAAGGTGAAATGGGTATCTTGTCATGTTAATGAGAGACTTTTGGACCCTCTGCCCAAGGGAAGGAGCTGGAAGTTGAATCAGCCAATGGCCAATAATTTAGTCAATCATGACTATGCAAGGAAGCCCTCACAAAAACCACTGAGAAGAACTTACAGCTCTCTTGAATCCTGCTTTTCAGCTGGAGAGAACTTCTGTGCTTGGGCAGCCAGAACACTCCCATGTGCCACTGATCCAGGCCCCAAGCTCCAAGCTCCTTTATTTGGGACCTTGACCTATGTAGCTGTTCATCTGGCTATTAACTGGTGTCCTTTATTAAACTGGTAAACCTAAGTGTTTTCCTGAGTTCTGTAAGCTGCTCTAGTAAACTAATTGAACCTAAGGGGGAGCTCCTGGGAACCTCCAATCTGTTGCCAGGAGGTCAGTAGCACAGGTAACTGCCTAGAGCTTGCAACCAGCCTCTGGAGTGGGCGAGTGGAGGGCAGTCTTGTAGGACAGAGCCCTTAACCTGGGGAATCTGGTGCTACTCCAGGAAGATAGCACCAGAATTGAGTTCTCAGACACTCCGCTGGCATTATTTGTGGGAAGACCCCCTCCCACACACTTACACACATTGGAATCAGGTCTGGGAACCTGAACAGAGTTTTATTACTATTACTGCTGTGTATAATAAATACTATTATTGTTGTTGTATATGAAAGAACACATTGCATCCTCCAATCTACAAATGAAGAAACAGGCTCAGAAAGACAGATGAAAAAGATTCCCACCACTGACAAGACTCAGAAGAGCTGGAAAGGAAAACGGAGGGCTTTGTGGGGGAATGGTCCTGAAGCCAGAAGCAGATACAGTAACAATGAGACAGGGATCAAGCTAAGAACAAGGCAGATGTGAGCCCCGTCATGGTGCCTTGCCCCGTGGTGGGGAAGACAAACACTGATCAAATAAAATAATCAACACAAACCCACAAGTGCTGCAACTGAGAATACACTTGGAAGCTCATGGTGCTATGGGAGTATATGACAGTTCATTTTGGTTGGGAGTTATGATCAAGGGAGGCTTTGGGGATAAGGAGGATTGGGTACAGAGAGTTTCAGGTGTAAGGAACAGAGTGTGCAAAGAGCCCAAGGCCAAGTTTGAACTGGGTCTTCACTGGAACTAGGGCCCACTGAGGGAAGGAGGGAGGGGCAGGAGAGAAGAGTGAACAGAAAGCCAAAGACCATGGGCCCATGTTCGGGAACAGCCAGCAGGGGGCAGAGTTCTCTGGTGCCCCAAGCCTTGTTCTACTGAGTCAGAGCCAGGATGCTTGGGGAGAAAGGGCTGGGAAAAGGAACCCTGCCAGGTTCTGTTTAAGTACATTTTGTCTATCACTTGAACAGATAGACACACATTAAAAAATTACCGGGATGAAAGTACTCAGTGAAGTGAACCTTTCACCGTACTCTGATTGCCATCAGCTGGTTCCCCTCCTTGGCAATAACCCCCATACTGGTTTATTGGGTGTCCATTCCCAGATAATCAATGCACGTAAGAACACACACCGTATTTATCTTGCACTATTCTAGCCCCCAGGAGATCTCTAGTTATGAAAGTAGCCAATTTGTACTCACCACCTTTTGTAAATGATTCTTTAATTTATCTGGGAGCTATGGCTCAGAACTTGATCCAGGCCAGGGATTCTCAAACCCTAAATCTTCTAGTGAGCTTGTTAAAAACAGATTGCTGGGCCCCAACCTTAAGTTTCTGCTTCCTTAGTTCTGGGGTGGGGCTTGAGAATTTGCATTTCTAACAAGTTCTCAGATGATGCTAGGACTGCTGGTCCTGGGACCACACTTTTGAAACCACTGAGCTGGCTGCTCTGGGACAAAGTATGTGCCCCAGTGACCTTATCTCTCCCTCTCACAAGAGATGGCATGAACAACCCAAGGAAACACACATAACAACTAGAAAAATAGTTAACAGAATGGTTAATTTCTATGCAGAAAATGAAGAGGGGAGGGGTGTGGATGAAGAGGAAGTGCTTGAGAAGAGGGGTAGGAGTGGACGGTAAGCAACGTTTGGGGGACAGGTAAGTTCCTTTTTGATCAGGTGAAGTTCACAAAGCCAGGTAAATAGACACACAAGTGGAGCTGTCTTGGGCCCAGGCAAGGAGTCACACTGACAGAGAAATGCAGGGAGAGACGAGGAGGGGGTCCAGCCCCCTGAGATGTGCAGAGGCAGAGGCGGAAGGACCAGCAGAAGTGATTGAGGAGCCCGAGGTGAGAGTTGAGGGCAAATCCAAAAGCACCTGAGAGAGGAGAGGGTTTGAGGAGGCGTAATCAAGATTCCGGGACAGCTGAGAGGTGCCACCTGGATTCGGTCCCAGGGGTCCCAGGGACGCCAACAAGGCGTCTCTTCAATGAGACCGCAGACCCTGGGGGGCGGGTGGGCAGGGAGCCTGAGGAGTGGCGCCCACAGACGGCGCGTTGGGGATGTTCTGCTGCTTAGGAATCAAGAGAAATGCGCTGGTTTCTGAAGATGGGGAGGAGGAAGCGGGTAAGAACTACTGGAATTTAGTTAAAGGTTGACGGGAGGGAGAAGAAATGAAACATGCTGGAGAAAGGGGCTGAGCCCTGAGGCATGGCGGAGTCGGGGCGTTGGGAGAGCTTAAAGGTTCCCCTGCCATGGAAACAACACTCATCTGAGCTTTACAACTCCTCCAAAAGGAAAGCACTATTGTCCCCATTTTGCAGACGAGGAGACTGAGGCTGAAAGCGATGAAGAACGCGCTCAAGGTCCCACACCTCTCAGAACAGGACCTCGGTCCGTGCGGAGAGCTCGCGCTTCTCTTACTGCTCCCGCCGCTTCTGCAGGCTCCAAACTGGATGCTTTTTTTCTGTCCTTACAAGGATGCCCTTTGGAGAGCTGCGGGATGGCAGAGAGGCCCCTCTGCTCCATTTTGCAGACGAGGAGACTGAGGCTGAAAGCGATGAAGAACGCGCTCAAGGTCCCACACCTCTCAGAACAGGACCTCGGTCCGTGCGGAGAGCTCGCGCTTCTCTTACTGCTCCCGCCGCTTCTGCAGGCTCCAAACTGGATGCTTTTTTTCTGTCCTTACAAGGATGCCCTTTGGAGAGCTGCGGGATGGCAGAGAGGCCCCTCTGCAGGGCGCCCCCCACCCCACCCGAGCCCCGCCCCCAGAGGCGCGGGAGGGGCGCTGGGCGGGGAGCGGCGGCAGGGCTGGGGGTGCGCACCGCGCGGGCACTGCTGGCTGGGCCCCGAGCTCGCCGTGCTGTCGCACTTCCCAGCGTCCACACCCGCAGTCAGTGCCCGCCGTGCGCGTCCCGCCATGGCCGCCGCCGCCCTCCTGCCGCGGCCCCGACGCCGGCCGCGACCCTTGCTCCTGACGGCACTGCTGCTGGGGCCGCTGCTGCGCGCCGGCCCGGTTCGCACCGACAGTAAGGTACGCGAGGCCCTCGGCCCCGGGCGCGAGTCGGCGCGGAGCAGAGCGCAGGGGTGCTGTGGCTGGGGGTGCGGGCCCCGGAGGGGTTCCGGGGAAGCGAGGGGAGGACCAGAGAGGGCAGACCGGACTTCGGGCTTGGAGAAGCCGCTGGGGCCGGGCACCAGGAGATGAGCGCGTGGGGGAGGAAACACTGGAGATGGTTGGGTTGCCTGGGACACAGCTTCAGGAAGGGGCTCCGGGACCCAGTGAAGTGCTGGGAGGTAGCCAGCACTGAAATCCAGGACCAGGGAGAGGGGGCGCTGAGAAGTTGTAGCGGCACGAGCGGAAGTGTAATCCCAGTCTAAGGAGGAGATAGAGCCCCAGGAGCGCTGGGCAGGGGCAGCCTGGAGACCTGGCACAAAGTTTCCGTGGAAGGCTGACCCATGTGGGGGCAGACCCCTGGGTAACTGCTACCCAGCGACATCCAGGTTTGGTTCAAGGCACACTACGCCCAGGCTTTCGGGCCATACTGGGGACCCAGAGACCCTCCCCAACGAACCCATTAGGCTGGCCACTCATTTGGCCACTGGCGCTTCTGCCAGAGATCTGATGCACCCTCGGGAGGACATGGCGTCTCCAGAAGTGACCTGAACTATCAGTTGTGGCAAAAAGGATCTGCTCCAGTGTTAAGCAGACCTATGTTCAAATCCCACCTCCCCCTCTCAGCGGGTGACCTTGGGCGATACCTCTCTCAGCTTCGGTTCCTCACTTGTAAATACGGGAATATTAATAGTTTCCACTCCCTGAAGTTGATGATCTCTGGGTTAAAATAAAATGCTTAGCACCACACCTGGCACCTAGCAGGTACCCAATAAATGATACTGTGATTATGAAATCTTACCACAGGGACCCCAAAAAGGGGTGATCCACAATGTAGAGAGAGCAAGACTTAGGGTCAGTCAGAATCAGGATCTCTTGAGGGCGTTCTGGAAATTACCCAAAGAGGACAAGGATGGGACTGGGGGTGAGTGAGGGGCAGGAGGGAGGTAGGGCCCTGTTCATGGAGAATGAGAATAAAGGAGTGTTCTCTCTTGGTGTCTCTCCAGCCTCTTTCCTAAGTAGAAGGTCCGAGGCTGCCCTTGTGCACAGGCAGGTTAAGGGCAAAAGCTATTTAGTCACATGGTAAGTATATGAGCAGTGGGCCCCAGCTGATCCTCAGCCTGAAGATGCCGGTCAGGGTATGAAAATAAGTGAGCTGCAGTCCATGAGCTCCAATGACAAAAAGGGAATGAGTATCATTCCCATTATACAGATAGGGAAACTAGGATGTGTGGAGAGGTAGCTGGTTTGTGAATTAAAAAAACCTAGGCTCTGGGTCTTTATTGTTCTTTGGCTGTGTGGCCTTGGGCAAGTCACTGCCTGTCTCTGGGCTTCAGTTCCCCTATCTGAAAGACCACCTCCCCAATTTCCCTTCTATATAGGGCCTTCTAGGATTCCCTGACCTGGCTCAGGTGGGGGAACAAGTGAGCAGAAACCCCCAGAAAGCCTGATTAGTGCCTTCCCAGCTCCTATCTGTGGCTAGGAGGAATATGTGGTCTTGGGCATCCTCTGAGCCATGCAGAGGGCTGTAGAGCTTGTGGGGGAGGGCTAGCATTCAAAACAAAGCAAAGACAAAGAAAACCCAACCCCCTGTTTATGTAGTGAGTCAGCCAAACACTTGCTAGGTTGGGGGGTGTGCATGTTTAATTGTCCCAGGGCAGGCTGGGGCTGGTGGGATGGGGAGGCTTATCCTAGAGTCTGGAGGCTGAAGCAGCTGGGGGACTCAGCACAGTCCTCCCCCAGACACCTCCCACCCAGCAGCGTGTCAGCCAGCTGGGAAAAATGAAAATCAAGTGATGGGTGAATTTACTCCACATTCCTCAGCACTGCCAGACTCCTGCTGGCTCTGTAGAGAGAGCTGTTTTCATTATCACCCTCTCCCTCCCTCATAACAGTTCTTCCTCTCCAAGCCTGTCCTATTTTCTGGGAGTGGGAGGGAACCCCCCCTCCTCAGGTTTGGCCCCTCCTCAGGTTTCCTGCTCCCAAAAGGTTCAGTCTGCCCCACTGCCCAGTACTTTCAGGGGTACAGGGGCAGCTTAGCCCCAGTACTAACCACAGGACTCTGTGGTCTCTGCCAGCTCCTCACTCAGCATGTTTTAATTTCATGTTTATAGCAAGGTTTGTTCTAAACAGGATTTGGAGTTTCCATCTAAGGAAATGCTTAGTCTAGCTTGGGATTGGGAGAGGGAGTTCACAGCTTCCCTGGCATTTTTGAGGGGCTGCCCAGCATGGAGGTTGGGACAGACAGGTAACCACGTGAAACCCAGGCATGGTACCAGAGACCTCTGTGAACCTGCTTTTTGCTGTAATACTGTCCTTGGAATGTGGCTGAGAATTCCGTCTCTACCTCAGTTTCCCCATACACGAAAGGGCTGCTAGCAGCTCACTTTCTCCATGCATCCAGGCATGGGAAGGTGGTCTTTGGTCAGCCCTGCCACTGACCAGGGGCCCGAGGATAGAGGGAAGACCAAGACTTGAGGCAACTGGGCCAGGGGAGCAGGAGGGACTGGAGCAAGCAGGCAGTGGTGTCCGGGCTAGATCAGATGTTCCAGGCCACGCTGGTCCCGGGAGCTTAGGTGTTGCTGCGCCTCTGCTCCGGGAGTTTCCGCCTGTGGGTGTAATTGGAAGCAGGCTCCGGAGCAGGCAAGGGATGCACAGTGATGGAGTCCTCCTGTACACAGAGAGTGTGGAGCCCCACAGGGTCTCTCTGCAAGGAAGGTCTTGCCCACATTCCACTGACTGAGGCACCCGGGACAAAGTCCTGAGAAGCATCCTATGGGCCAAGTCGTGCCCAGCACTTACATTCAGGATCTTATGCAACTCTCCTGCCAACTCTCTGAGGCCTCAGTGGTCCCTCCCCAATTGACAGACTTGAATACTGAGGGTCGAGAAAGAGTCAGGTTGGGCTGCTCTGATATCCTAGACAGGAAGCTTGAGGGGTTTGGAGAATCCTGGAGTTCCAGGATTGGTGGGGAGTCTGAGTCAAGGGGTGTGGACCAAGGTCAGGGTAGCTGCATTTTCCAGATGCACCCCAGGTAATTCTGAGGCACATTCTGCCTAGTGAAAACTCATGGATGTGACAGGGAGCCAGGGAGGTTTGGGGAGTGTGAGAGTAACAGATCATCAGAGGATCTTTTGGAAGATTAAATGCCAGCAGGGAGGAGGCTGCTGTGTTGCCCAGCAGCTAATGCACCTGAACTGGGGCTGTGGCCATGGAGTAGAAAGCAGTGGATAAAGATGGGAGATATTTGAGATGAAGCATCCAAAGAATATGATTAATGGGTTGCCCAGAGCAAGGAGGCACAGAGATCTGGGTTGGCCAAGGAGGTAGGCAGACAGGTATAGAAGATGTCAGGTACAATTTTGGATGGATTAATCTTGAGGTGCCTGTGAGCATCCAAGGAGGGGTGTCCAGCTAGCAGTGGGCTCTAGGGGAGGTCTTTGCCTACAGGATACTGTCAGTGAATCTAGGCTGATCATTAGAGAAGAGGGAAGAATCTACTTCATGGTGACACAATTTGAACTTGTTCCATTTCTAGAACATTTTATAGCTTCCCAACTCTGGCCAGATTTATCCATCTCCCTTCACAAAAAATCTCAAGTATACCCTCTTACCATCTCATTGTAGAAGATTTCCTTGCAAATAGGGACCTTTTTAAGCACAAACCACCCACACTTCTCGGGGCTCTGGCAGCAGTGTGTGTTGAGTGAGACTGCTCAACAGGGAGAGATGGGGGCTGAGGCAGGGACTTCCTGCTGGGCAGCAACTCCAGCCTCCATGCCAAGGGCACGGCGGGCCAGGTCCAGTGGGACCCCCAGGTCCTATGTCTCCCCTTCTCTGTCCCAGCTCGGTTGCTGGTGGAGACACCCTTGCCTGGTGACTGGGTGTTCCTGGAGGGAAAAGCAAGTAAACTAAAGATTGGGAGTTAGGCTGTGCTGTGTAACTCTGGGCAAGCCCCTAGACTTTTCTGATGCTCAGATTTCTCCCCTTTAAGACTGGGTTGTGGTGAGAGCAAAGAGAGGTAGAAAATGATGTGCAAACATGAGGGAGGGTTGATGGCAGGACTTCAGTAGCAAGGAGCTCTGCATGCACTGCCTTGTTTCAGCCTCAGGATGAGCTTATCCTCCCCATTTTACAGAGGTAGAAGCTGAGGCCCAGAGGTGTCAAGGCCATGCAGGGAGGAGATGTGGGAGCTAGGGTTTGAATCCTCACCTCTGCTGCCTCCAATCAAGCACCAAAGGACATAGTTAATCACAGCGGGTAGGGCCCTGCGTGGGCTCCTGGCACCTGGGGCAGGGAGCAGAGGCCCTCTTATGACTATGGGCTGGAGTCGGGGCCTTGGCCGCCCCCATCAGGTCATAGCACCTCATCCAAAGAGGGAAGGAATGCTGCAGTCTGATGTGGAGGCTGCTGCTGCTGAGGGTGGGCATTGGTATTATGGGTGGGTCCTCAGGAAGAGGTCTGTCTGGCCTGGCTACACAGAACACACCCACATCCACCCACTGGGCTCTTACCCCAACCTGGGAGAGTGGGTGGGGGTGGCTAGGGTCTAAGAGAAGGCAGGTGTAAAGCACTAGAAGCCGTCCCTGGGATGGTCAGGACCCTGAGCCTGGCTGCAGAGTTCACAGGCAGGGAGAAGTGCCTGCATGCCCAGAGTACAACTCCCACAGAGCGCCCAGGGCAAAGCTTCCCCCCACAGCCACTGCCTTCTCCATCTTCCTCTTCCCCCAGAGGACTGGAAGTCCACCCACTCTAGGCTCTAATCCCCTTGAACAAGTCATTTGATGGCTCTTGGGCTCAGTTTTCTCAGTAGGGCAACTGCTAAGAATATCTACCAGTGGACCCACATGGAGAAACGAGCAGATAAACAAATCCCTTTCAGTATTACTGGTAATAACAGCTCCAATACACAGACTATTCTGTGTGCTCCTGGTGCTGGACTGAGCATATTCCTGGTATTCCATCTCAAACCTCACACAGTCCTTTGTTGTGTAGGCACGAGTAGTACCCTCATTTTACAGATGGGGCAGCTAAAGCACAAAGAGGTTCAGTAATCTACCCAAGAACACGCAGCTCTAGGTGGCCCATGACTGTCCCAAACCACCATCCCACACTTTCGCAGCACTCAGTGAGTGAATTCTCAATAAATGTCTCCTCCTGGGCTCTGCACCCCAGGCTCGCCTCTTCCATCCACCTTCTGTCCACAAAGCAGCCTACACTCCACCCACCTTCTGTCCACAAAGCAGCCTACATGAGCTTTCCATAATGCAGCTCTGACCCTGGCTCTCATGCTTAAAACCCTTCCATTATTCCCCAGTGTTTTCAGGAAGAAGACAAGATCCTCAGTCAGCTTTCAGGGCCCTCCACGAGCTGGGCTCTGCCACGCCTCGCCTAACCTCCTGCCACTCCAGGCCCCCTGCCAGCACCAGCCAGAGTGAACCTCCTCCTGGCCCCCAAGTATCAGGCTCCCATTTGTCTTTACATGTCTGATTTTGTTTCCTGTAATGCCCTTCTCCTCTTTAATGATGTCGCCCAAGGGTGTGCTCCCCCAAGCAGCCTTTAGGGTTTTCCTTCTTGCTCTCAGAGCTCACTGCTGCAGTTTCTTCCATGGCTGAGAAGGTCCAGAATGTACTTCAGTCTATTTCTTCTGCACCTCCAGCTGTCACACAGGGTGTAGCAGAGGTCAGAGCCTCAAACAGGTGTCTGACAGCTCAGCAGAAATGGAGTGCCCACGGCCCTTCGTCAGAGAGCCCAGGACATGCATGGATGTTAGGCTTGACAGAAAGCCAAGAACTTACCTGGACCCTGGTAGCTTCAGTGAGAACTGAGTAGCCACGAGGCCCAGGGTGTGAGTTTGTTGACTGAGTTGTGAATAGCTATGTCCTGAGAGCCTGGTGCCCAGGATGGGCTGGTTGAGCCACCCAGGGGAGGGGCTGGTTAGGGCTCCTAGATCCCAGCTGGCATGTTTGGGCAAGCAGGCTGGAGACAGTAAGTGAGCATGTCACCTGCCACTGATCTCACTGAGCTCACTCCTGCAAGTACAAATCTTGCTGCCTCCAGGGACGAGTGACCACAACTGGACACTGGGTGTGTGTTATCCCAGGGTGGACTCTTGCCTTTCGGAAAAGGGAGGGAACCACTCAATGGAGGTCATGTTCTTTCATTTGATTCTCACTATGAAAGGCCAGTATGGAGAGTCATCCATTTTACCGCTCAGAGAGGTTATGTAACCTGTTTAAAGGCCCACTGGGTGTGGGGGGGCCAGGTCTATAGAAGAAGCTGGAAGGTCCAAAGCTGGATCTTCCACATCGAAGCTGTGAGACCTTGGACATGTGACATCACCTAACACTCTGCTCCTTTATCTGTATTAATAATGGCTCACATTGAAGACACATTATGTGGTAGGTGCTGTTCTTTAATTCATTTAATCCTCAAAACAAGGCAGAAGCCCATTTTTCAAACAGGCAGGAAGGCTGAGTTGCCCACAACCTCATAGCTACTCACACAGGCTTAAACGCCAGGCTCTTAGCACTGTGCTCCAGCATGTCTGCGAAGTGCAGGCTCACTTATCTAACAGATGTGTATATACAGAGCACCTACTATGGGCCAGGCAGGCACTGTCCTGGGGATATAGGAAGGACCTAGACAAAGTCTCTACTTCTAATAGTGCCATTGTAGAAGAGAGGAGACAAATAAGCAAACACGCATGTAATACTTCAGGTGGTAATAGTACAATAAAGAAAAAGCCACTAGGTAAGAGAACGGTAATGGGAGGTGGGCAGTCAGGAAAGGCTTCTCAGAGGTGGTGATGTATAATTAATGTGGGGAAATGAGCCAAAGGACTATCAAGGGAATAAGGGCTTCAGGCTGAAGGCACCACATCTGCAGAGGCCCTAGGCTGGAGTGGACTGACCCAAAGGAAGGAAAGGGTGACAGGATGGGTTAGGGGAAGGGTGTCAGAATCACCTTGAAGGCCATGGTAAGCCCTCCCCCCATATACAGTTATTACTAAAGGGGGTGATGCACATGAAACCCAGGATCTAGTAAGTGCCCAAGAAAAGGTCTCCATTCATATTTTTTTACTATTGTGGTAAAATACACATAACCGAATTCAACATTTGAAGCATTTTAAAGCATACAATTCAGTGTCATTTAGTACATTCACAATGCTGTGCAACCATCATCACTACTTAGTTCCAGAACATTTTCATCATTCCAAAAGGGAGCCCTGCACCCACTAGCATTCATTCCCCACTCCTCTTCCCTCTGCATCCTGGCAACCACTACTCTGCTTTTGGTCTTTATGGATTTGCCTTTTCTGGATACTGATTAAATGGACTCATACAATATTTTGTGTCTGTTCTTTCATTTAGTATCATGTGTACAGGATTCATCCATTTTATAGCATGTGTCAGGACGTCATTCCTTTTTATGGCTGAATAAATTCCATTGCATGGACATACCACATTTTGTTTATCCACTCATCTGTTGATGGACATTTGGATTATCTCCACCTTGTGGCTATTGTGAATCATGCTGCTGTAAACATTCATGTACAAGTCTTTGAATACTTGTCTTTAATCCTTTTGGGTATCTACCTGGAAGTAGAATTATTGGGTCATATGGTAATTCTTTAAGTTATTGCAGAAGCCAAGCTGTTTTCTCATAGCAGCTATTAATATTTTAATTGGTATTATTATTATAAGCCTCTCTTTCCTTGTAAGGGCTGCTAACTTCTCAGCCACCTCTAGCTATCCCCACAAAGGCCAGCAGGGCTAGATTCTGCAACCTGTCCACTCCCCCTCCTCCCCAGCACTGGCCTTTGGCTCACCTGAGCCCCTCCTACAGGTGTTTGGTGACATGGACCAGGTGCGGATGACTTCAGAGGGCTCTGACTGCCGCTGCAAGTGTATCATGAGGCCACTGAGCAAGGACGCATGCAGCAGAGTGCGCAGTGGGCGGGCACGGGTGGAGGACTTCTACACAGTGGAGACAGTGAGCTCAGGGACCAACTGCCGCTGCTCCTGCACAGCACCACCCTCCTCGCTCAACCCCTGCGAGAATGAGTGGAAGATGGAGAAACTCAAGAAGCAGGCGCCTGAGCTCCTCAAGGTAACCTTTCTGGGGTGAGAGTAGGGATGAGCACACCTGGGTGAGGATCTAGCATGGGCTGGATCCAGGCTAGCCTTCCTAAAAAGTCCACATGCTCTCAGTAGGTACTGTTACCCCCTTTCCCAGGTAAGAGAGCAGAGACTCCCTGAGCAGAGGCCACTTCTTGCCCAAGACCATTTGGCCAGTAAGTGATGGAGGCAGCATTCTATGGCTAGTTTACCAGAATATAGCCCCTTACATCTAGTCCAGTGCTCTGTATTTTACCCAGTCTAGTTCATTTGTTGGTACCTATCCATAGGATTTTAAATTTTAAATGTTGTGGCATTTTATTGCTTTTAATTTAAGAATATTTCCCATATTCAAGTACCACCTTCATGCCAGATGTTGTGTTCTTTTTACACATTAGTAACACACTCTAAATCCTTAAGCCATCCTGTGAAATTTGGCACCATTGTTCTCATTTTATAGGCAAGAAAACAGATTGAGAGAAGTTAGGTAACTAGCCCAAGCTCTCACATAGTGACATGTAGCCTTGAATCTATACTATATACTTTCATGTGAATTCTGTGCTTACCCCTCCAGTCCTCCACCATAGGCAGACAGAAAGAAGCACCACCTCTCAGGGACACAGCCACAGGACCCTCTCACTTTCTGTAATCATTTTATCACAGATGAGTAACAAGCAGCTTGGAACAGCCCTGGTCCGCAGGCCGTACTTGGGTAGGCCTGCTCAAACGCACAATATTTCTTCTCACCTCTGGCCCTTTGCACAAGCTGTTCCCTTGGCCTGGAATGCTCTTCTCCTGCCATCTTTGCCTAATCTGTGCTCCCCCTTTGGAGTTCAGCTCAAACCAAACTTCCTCCTGGCAGACGTTACTAATCCACAGATGCTCCCAGACAAGGTCAGCTCCCCATCATTAATGATCTGGGCACCCGTGTGTTACTCTCTGTGTTCTCTGACAGCCTGTGAAGGACTGTGAAGGCTTGTGCAGTCTTGCTCTTTTCCTTAGAGCCTGGCCCAGAGTAAACATTTGCTAAGGCTGGAAGAGGAGGCTGGGCAGATCATAGAAAGTTAAATGTCAGGCTCAGAAGATGAGAGGCCACACATGGGCAGTGGGGAGTCATGTCAAGTGACCAGGCAGGGGAGAGATTCACGGTCAGAGCTGCACTTTGGGAAGCCAGTTGTGCTGGCCATGAAAACAGCAGTGTGAAGCCGGGAGGTTCCCATTTAATTCCCTGGAATAGCAGTCATTATTGCTGACATTCATGAAGCCCTTGCTGTGTGCCCACCTCGTGCTGAGCTCTGTCCAGACACTACTGCTCTGTACCACAATCCTATTGTCCCATTCCACAGGGAAGGAAGGTGAAGCACGTAAGAGTCTATGTGCACAGTTCTTGAACTGTGCTCCACAGAGCCCTAGCCCTGTGCAGCCCCTCAGGGCCTGAGCAAGGTTGTAGGGGAGCAGACAAGACTCGAGGTCCTACCCCTGCTTCCATCAGAGACCTCCATTCTGTTTTAGAGATCAGAGTCTACTCAGAGAAAAGCTCTTAAAACACCTTAAACTCTCCTGGGAGAGTGGGAGTAAAACTGTTTTGGAAACAGCTGGCCAGGGCCAGGCAGAAGCGCTGGCCGGCTCAGGCCCTGAGAAATGCTGCAGGGCGGGGAGCAAGGCCATCCAGGAGGGTGGGCTGTGGGAACTGCCCTTCTCGAGAAGCCAGGGGAAACGGGTTTCTCAAGTGGCCCCTCGTGCCAAGGTTTCCCTGACACTCCCACTGGCATCTTGGCCATTGGGAGGGAAGCGTCATATCCTGATGCGGTATGACCCAGCTGGGAAGGGGAGGGGCAGCTCAGGGGAGAGCCCTGGGCTGGGCAAAGGAGACCCAGCATCTGCTGCTAGCCTGTTGTGCAAGCCCCTTCCCCTTTGCTTGGCCTCAGTTTCCCCATCTGAACACAAGAAGGAGCAGTAAAACATGGTAGGAAAGAGGTTTGGGTTTAGGCCAATCTGGTTCTGCTCCCAGGTCTACCATTTAACCGCCAATGGCCTTGAGCAGGTCACTTTGCCTCTCTGAGCTGTGGCTTACCAGTTTGTAAGATGAAAATAAAAACATCCAGACCTTGCCTTTGGTTGGGTCCCTAAGCAGACGCTGAGGTAAGTGATTCATGTTCAGGTGATTTATGAAAGTGCTCCCAGGAGAAACTGGTACCACAGTAGAAGTCAGGGTGGGAAGGGAAGGAAGCCCAGTAGGGCTGTGGTCTCAGGCTACGTGCTAGCCTCAGTCCCAGGGAACACTGGAATGTAAATGACAGCTTGGCTGTCCCCTCTGGGGCTAGGGAGCTGGGCTTTTAGGTGCCTGCACCCAGTAGGCATTGCCTGGAGCTACCCCAGGAGGACAAATACACCCAGGCACTTTGGGGCAAAGCAGCTCCTTGAAGAGTGTCACAGATGCAGGCTGTTAAGGAGAGGCACATGGAAGCCAGGGCTGGACACAAGAAACCATGAGAGGGCCCCCAGGGGATGTGGGTGGGGCTTCTCTGGTATCACGGTGCACCTCATGAGGTGGTTTGAGAAGTTAAGTGAACTAGCACATTAAAGCCCCCGGCACAGGGCCTGCTGTATGGGAAGTGCCCAGCAGATGGAATCTGTCGCTTCTCCCGTGACTGTTAGCAGGCTGGGTCTGGTAGATGTTAACGACGAGGGGGGTGCTTTTGCCCACTTTGTGCCTGGCCCTGTTCCCTACCCCTTCCTCACCCTCACCCTCACCCTTCGCCGGCAGCTGCAGTCCATGGTGGATCTCCTGGAGGGTACCTTGTACAGCATGGACCTGATGAAAGTACACGCCTATGTCCACAAGGTGGCCTCCCAGATGAACATGCTGGAAGAGGTAAGGGCAGGGCTTGGGCCAGCGCCAGGCTGGTTCAGTGCTGGAGACAAGGGCACTGTCCGAACGGCCTGGGCAATTCCATCTTGACTCTGGTGGTTGTTGCAAGCTGTACTCCAGCAGGAAGCTGGGGGAGGGAGAAGCAGGTCACAGGGTCCAGACTTTGGAGAAGAGGTCTGACTAGGGTTTGAGGGCCTTTGGGAAGCTGGAGGGTTGGTTGGAGAAACTGAGGCCCCTGCATATTATATGAAAGTGGTGTGGAGGGGGCTGGAACCTGGAGTTGCCCTCAGTTCACCAAGACCAGGATCCACAAATTGCACAACTCCTGGACCACCATTCACATAAAATACCACACATGTGGTGCCCCCCGGGGTGGCGCAGTGTGGTACAGGGCTGGCCATGCCCATTGGGGTGGGGCTTGAGGGGACTTGGCTCCCCCACACCTACCCACATCAGAGGCAGAAGTGCTGAGCATCTTCTCCTAACCAGGGCACACGTGCTGGAGGGCTAGTCAGACTGCCATCTGAGGACTGGCAGAGCATTGAGCAAGCATGAGGGGCCAAGCTGCAGGTTCGGGGCTTACATCTCTGCTGGCACAGCCGGACCTCTGCCTGTTTCCTGCATCCGGCCCCTGCAGAGCTGCTGGGAACTTGGGGACATGCAGCTGCCAGGGGCCTGAGTGGGGGTTTCCTTTCCCAGCTTCCTTTCCAGAGGGAGGGGCACCTGGGCATCCTGTGGCCCAGAGTGGGAGATTAACCCCTTATTATTCCCAAAGTTGGGATCGCAGTGGCTTTAATTATTCAAAAGGTATTTGGTGAGTTATCTACTATGTGCCAGGCCCATGCCAGCATGGAAATGCCACATGCACTTGTGCTGTGTACCAGTATTTCCTGGGCACCTAGTGCACACCAGGCTCTCCGGGGGTCGGCTCTGCAGTTGTCTTCCTCCTGTAAGGAGGAAACATTAACTCACTTCATATAACTATGAGCCAGATAGTACTGGAACAAATCAGAGATGATTTCCACAGCCACAAATAAATGATTTTTTCATTATCTTCTGTTTTACATTATTTGTACTCTGCTTCTGTTCACTAAATGATAATTCTGGGGGAAAAAAAGCTTTCTGCTCACCCTGGGAGGAGGTGGAGGGAACAGCCTCATTCAGGAGGAGCTGCCTCCCTCTGCCCAGGTGGTCAGGCAGCAACCTGGGGTTCCCTCTGCCCTCTTCCATTACACCAGTGCTTCTCAACCAGGGCCGATTCTGCTCCCCAGGGAACAGCTAGCAGTACCGAGATATTTTTGGTTGCCACAACCTGGGGGAGCTGAGTGGCAAATGCTACTGGTTTCTGGTGGGTAGAGCCCAGGGATGCTCCTAAACACCCTAGGCACACAGGCACACAGGTCAGGCCCCCAGAGCACACAACTGTTTGGTAAATTGTAGTAGTGCTAAGGTTGAAACACCCGCCTTCTACAGTTTGACTTCTGTGATGGAGTTTAGAATGTGCTGTGTCATTTCTTAGCCTTCCTGATCCTCACAGTAACCCTAACATTTAGTTGCAAGTATAATAAAGATCCACATTTTATAGGCAAGATAACTGAGGCTGAGAGAGGTAAAGCCTCTAGCTCAAGGTTACCCAGCCAGGAAGAAGAGAGCAAGGATTTGAACCCAGCTCTGTCCAGCTCCTCTTGCCCTGCTGCCTCTTGATCCCTGAATCTGTTGACATCCAGGGCTGGCTGGACATGAATCAGTCTTAGGTTATCTCCTTCTTTGTAAAAATTTCTATCAATGAAATTCTGAACTCATAATTCTGATGCTCCAGGAGTTCACAGCAAAGAGGTGCTTTCTGTGTCTGACTCTAGTCTCTCCTGCTTCAGCTGAGAAGTAGGCTCAGATAAAGGAATTCCACACATACCCCAGACCTGCTGAGGCTTTGGGAACCTGGGATCAACACCTGCCAGGCTACCCAGGTTTCCTAAATCCTGCCCAGTGGACAAGGCCAGCCTGGTCTACAGACCAGCAATGGGGATCCCTGGGTTGGGGGATCCACAGAGAAGAGCACAGTGGAGGTGGGTGACTAGAAGCCGCTAAAGCCTGGCTGGGTCCCCAGCAAGGGGGATACAAGGCGAGGCAGGAGAATGAGCCTGGGAGTAAAGGTGGGGCTCAGTGTGGTGGGAGGATCCCGCTCTTCCCAGGAGAGAAGGCAGAGACCGGAGACATTTAGGAGGGACCAGAGATCACCCACAGCAAAACCCCAGATAGTTTCATTGTTTCACTATTTTACAAAAAGAAGGTGTTTATGTATTTATACATTACTTGTGAAATTAAAAGGTAATCAAAGTAGCAAAAGAATGGTAGCACCTTAAGTGACAGATCCATGTGAGACTGGCTAAATACGTTGTGGCCCATCCAGGCAATGACATATATTGTGGCCAATAAAAGGAATGAGGAGCGCTGTATATACACTATATGTAGGTCCACATACATATACAAATATGGAAGAGCTCCCCAAATGGGCTCAAATGAAAAAGCAAACTTAAAAAAAATGAGAGAGAGAAATCCATAACAATTGTTGGCACTGAGAAAGGTGAGGACACATATGTTTTTATACCCATTTTTATCTTTTTAATTTAGTATTGTGAACATACTTATTTTTTCATTCACTTACTTTTTAAATAGAAAATAACAACTACAGGGTCTCATTCCACCCATGCTGGCTGGTGCTGCCCCCAGCTATGCCCCTGGGCCCTGTTCAAGACCGAGCAGCAGAGCCTGTTGGCAGAACGTGTGCTCTGTGTCCCAGGGTGGGAGGGGCAGTCAGGGGAGGCTGGCAGGACCTCTGGTCTCACCCCGCAGAGCATCAAGGCCAACCTGAGCCGGGAGAACGAGGTGGTGAGAGACAGCATGCGCCACTTCAGCGAGCAGCTAAGACACTACGAGAACCACTCGGCCATCATGATGAGCATCAAGAAGGAGCTGGCCAGCCTGGGCCTCCAGCTGCTGCAGAAGGACGCAGCCCCAGCCCCTGCGGCCGCCCCGGCCACCAGCCCTGGAAGCAAGGCCCAGGTGAGGTCGTGTCTCTCAATGTGGGGCCAAAAGCTGGGTAGGCTTGGGAGCACAGTGTGCCAGCCCTCAGCCCCGGGGCCAGTGGCGCCGTAGCACAGCACTGAGGGCTGGCGTAGCTGGGGACCCCATGGCAGGGCAGGAGCGCAGTTGACACAGGTGGGCTGGGAGTAGACGTGGGTTTCAGCTGAGGGATGTATTGCCTGAGCCAAGCATTTGGCAGTATTCATTCTCATTTCCAAACTAGTGGGGAACTAGTTGTAGAAAGTCCCTCCCTGCCTGGCCCTGGGAGACCAGGTTGGTGCAGCAAAACCACTTCTAGCCTCCCCTGCTGTGGCCGGCCCCTGGCTGAGTCAGGCCTGCTCAGGGGTAGGTGGGCGATGCCCTAGGGTGCTGCAGACCATACCACATCATCCAGCCATGCTGGGGTGGAGACTCCTGCAGACAACACCCACGCATACTGCATTGAAGCTCAGAGCACAAAGGGAGCAGAGGCACTGGTTTTGCCCCCAGGCAGAGCCACCCATGACATGCAGCACACCTTTGTTGTAGACCCTCTTCCTGGCAGACAACTGCAGAAAAGGCTCTCCCTCTGGGCAGGGAGCGAGCCCCCTTTGGGTGGACGGAGTATACAAAGGCCCCTTCCTATGACTGGCACACAGCAAGGTGTGTGGCAGACCAGATTTCAGTCCCATCCGTTCCTCTTTGGCTATGACCCACACCGCTCTCCGCAGCAGCCTTGTTTTTGTTTGAGCAGAGGAGGAAGGGCCTGACACGCAGAGTCCCTACTCTAAACCTGACTTCCTCACAGACTCCACCTCAGTAATCCCATAACCACCTGCCGGGGCAAGGATTGCTGCTCCTTTGACAGATGAAATGGGAGTGAGGTCACACGGAGAGAGGGTAGCTGAGCTGGCCCTGTGTGATTGCCAAGCCCATGCCCTTCCTCCCCACCTCTTTGCCTCCTGTGCTGATATTGTGATGATGGGGCCATTTTTGTCTGCAACTGGGACCCCCTAGCTGCCGAAAAAGTGTGGAGGAAGCCTGGTGCCCCGGCCCAGTGCTGGCTTCCTGCTCATTCTCGTGTCAAGTCCGCAAACGTGAGTGAATCCTGTTTTGGCAACAGCACAGAAGGTCTAGTTACTGTACTTGCCATATCTCCTGGAGATTCTGCCTAACAATGGGTGATGTCACAGGCCCTGTGTTCTTGTGCCAAGCCAGCATCAGAAGTATTTAAAAGGAAGTGCAAATAACAGAATTCATAAATCATTAGAACTGCATGCCCTAAGGGTAGTGCGGTTGGTGAGCAACCATCCCAGTTTCCCCCAGATTTCAGGGTTTCTGGGATACAGCACTTTCGAAGCTAAAACTGGGAAAGTTCAGACACAGGAGGATGAGTTGGTGGCCCTGCCTATGGACCTGAACACCTCTCCTCTTCCCACAAAGACAATGAATGAGAGACAGAGGGATGGGAAGCTGACCTGGTGATCTGCTATGTCCCCAATTGCTGACCATTATGGCCTACTCCCAATGGGGAGTGTCCAGGAGTTGGGAATTGGGGCAGAAATCTAACCTGTCAAACTAGGTTTCAAGCCTGCAGGCGAGCTAGAGTTGAGTGGGGAAACTGAGGCACACCCCAGTCATGATGTAGCCACTACAGGAGGAAAGTGACTTCATGAAAACCTAGGAAGTAGGGCCCGGAGCAACATCACCACTTACAGCCCTACACACCAAGTCCCCAAACCTGGCCCCCTGCAACATGCCTTCTACCATCCCCCAAGTCTGTGACTTCCCTTCCCTCCCAGGACACAGCTGGAGGGAAAGGCAAAGACAGTAATGGATACGGCAGCATGCAGAGGAGCTTTGGAGACAGGGGCCTCCCAAAACCTGCTAAGGAGAAGCTGCTGAAGGCGGAGAAGCTGAGGAAGGAGGGCGCCAAGGGCAGATTCCCCCAGCCTACGGCCAAGCCCCGGGCTCTGGCCCAGCAGCAGGCCATGATCCGAGGCATCACCTACTACAAGGCGGGCAGGAAGGAGGCGACTGAAGCTGTGGCTGGTGAGTCAGAGGGGACTGGAACCTTGGGACAGGGGCTTGCGGATGGATGGCCAGACACCAGGCCATCTTCCCTGCAGTCAGACCGCCCAGATTTCAGCTCTGCTGGTTACCTGCTAGTGCCTTTCCTCATCCGTGCAATGGCAGAATACCCCCACGGGGCGGTTGGGGATGAAATGGTTAATCAACACAAAGGGCCACTCAGGACCTTTCCAGTATTTACAGCTGCCTCCGCCCTCACTGAACTTCTCTCCTTCAGTCAAAGATTTGCTGAAGCTGCATTGTGTTCTTGCCGTATCTCCCAGAGATTCTGCCTAACACGAAGCTCAAGTCTAGTGGGAAAAAACATGCCTGTGACCAGAAAGCAGCCAGAGGAGGAGTGGGAGAAGGCAGGGCTGCAGCCAGGCCAGGGTTCTGGGAAATGGCATAGGGCCTTCGAGGCGCCTCCTGTTTCTCTGCTGGCCTGGGAGTGGACGGCCTCTCCAGCACCTCCCACTTCTGATCTCTCCAAATAAGAGCCCACAGACTCCTGCATTTTTTGCAGCTCCTTGAGGGATTATAGTGAAGGCTAGAGTAATTAATTGAGAAACAAGTTCCAAGCGTACTCACATTTCTGGGCCACCCCCTGCCCCCCACTGTGGCTCCTGATGCCCCCTCTGAGACCTTCCCCAGAGGCCTGTTCTCCTCTGATGTCCAGACGGACGCCGAGGGACACGCTTGCTTCACCTTCCTGGGTCCTGCTGACCCACCCATGTCCAAAGGGGCCTGGAAGTGGAATTGTGAGGGACCAGTCTCCTTTAAGAGCCCCCTCCATTCTTGGTCTCCCAGGGCTCAGGGGCCTCTTTTCCCAGCTGCTGGTGCCAGCTGTGGGCCCTGGGTCCTGCCGGCTCAGCCTGGCCACAGCACAGGAGCCTCTGACCCCTGGCCAGGGCATCACCAAAGAACAGCTGCAGGCATCTGACTGCCAGCGAGGCCCGTGGGAACAAGTTCCCTGCCCTGGCGGGCTGCCGAGGCCAGGCTGCCCTGAGGCCCCCGGACCAGAGAGTGTGTCCCCATTTCTGAAGATTCCAGGGGCTGCCTTGGGAGCATGGCTAAAGCCCTATGCAAAGAGTAAGCCCAGCAGGGAGAGGAAGGGAAGAAGCCAGTTAAGGGTCCTGCGGTCAAGGCACCTCAGTGCGCCCCCTGGGGGCCGCACTGTTTCAACAACAAGAGCGCCGTTCCTACGTCCCTGCGTGTTTTCTCAGTACATTCAGACATGCTGTCGCATTTGACCCAAGTGAGGAAAGGAGAGGTGAGGAAACAGAGAGGTTGAACGACTGTCAGTGGGCTGCTTCCTTAGATCCTTTCCTGGCTGGGCCCCTGAGCTGAGGAATCCTTGTCCCCTGCTGTGTGGCATTGAGTCTCCCTGCTTCCCTCACCCAGACCCCATCCATCCTGGCCCAGAGAATTGTGTGGAATAGGGAATGACCCAGAGAAGGCCCCATATCAGGTCCCACGGGAGCTGAAAAAGTCCTCATTAGCAAAGCCCAGCCAGCAGAGGTGAGGGAAGACCAAGAAAGCCAAGAGATGGGAGGGAGGAGGTGAGTGAGGGGCCCGAGAAAGGCAGAGGACTGGGTCTAGAGGCAATGGGAAACTGGGTGCATGCCCCCCGTCCTGCAGGAAGTGTCAAAAACTGGGAGCCCAGAACTAGGAGGTGGGACCCCAGGGAAAGGACCAGGAGAAAACCTTAAATTGAACTGAATCCAGTAATTGAATCCTCCTGCTCCTGGAATTGAATTCAGTAAATGAAAGAATTGATACAAAGTGTTTGACCCCTCATATTTGCCAGGATCTGTGCAAACGTCTTATATACATTTCCTTCTCATCAACACAATAGCCTAAAGTGGTGGGCCTCGTGATGCTCATTTCACAGTGGGAAGCTGAGGTCCACCGAGGCAGGGCACTGGGCCAAGGCCACTCAGCCTGGGGGACTTGGAGCCTGTCTGCTGACCACCACTGCCCAGGGCTCCCCCTCCCTGCCCCATGGCCCCAGAGCTGGGAGCCTGGTGGGCTTGGGGGGGCCCTGGGCAGCAGCAGGTGCTACCAGGGTGTGAGCACAGGCTCTTCTCTCTGTAGACAACGCCCTCAAGGGCACTTCCTGGCTGGAACAGCTGCCGCCCAGGTCAGAGGGCAGGCCACCGGAGCCCAACTCGGCGGAGCATGATGAGGCTGTGCCCCAGGCCTCAAAGAGAGCAGACTTGGCCCCTGGCACCCCTGCCCCAGACCCTGCCACCACCTCCACCCCCACTCCTACCACCAGTTCCCTGCCCACTGAACCAACTTCGCGCCAAGAAGTCTCCAGCCAAGGTGAGTATGCCTCACAGGAGTCAGCAAACGACATCCCTGGGGACAGCCCAGGAGCCAGATCCAGCCTGCAGCCTATATTTGTATGGCCCTGAAGCTAAGAACGGTTTTTACATTTCTAAGGGTTGTAAAAATATATATATATGGGACAGAAGTAGGTGGCCTGGAAAACCAACAATGTTTATTATCTGATTCTTTACAGAAAAAATGTGACCTTTACAGGGAAACAGGTAGTACTTTCAACAAACTCTTCTCAAAGCCTCACCTAGAATCCCATCATCAAAGCCAGCAACTATTTTCAGTCTTTGTTACCTCTGACCAGTCTTGGGCCCTGTTTTTATGTCCATGTTTGTGGTTTTGGCTTGTGTCTTTCGGTAGAAATCTTCAGTAAACCGCGGAGCCCATCCTCTGGAGGGCATTTGGCTCTCTGGGATAACAAGCCTTAAAACCATTCCCTGCTTTGGTCTGAGTGCATTCCAGTTCTAGGAATTTTTCCTAAAGTATCCGTCAGGGATGTGGACAACAGCTGCAGCTTAACTGGTTTCCTCCCAGCCTATTTCTAATGTTAGAAAACTGGAAATAATCTAAGGGCCTGACACTGAAGAGACTGGTTAAATAACTACAAGGGCACAGCTGTCTGGGGGCCTGGTAGAACATTGAAATCACATCATTAAAAGGCTATTTAATGATGTGAGAAATTGCTCAGTGGAGAGAAAAAGCAGGATACATAAAACTATATTCAGAAGAACCATGTTTTTTTTTTTAAGTATGTCTGTATGACTGTGATGCAAAGAAAAAGAAAGGGAAGGAAATAACATGTCTAAAAATTTCTTTGGATAATGGAAATTATGATTTTTATGTTCTCCATTCTCCTTTTCTGAATGTTCTGTGTTTTCTACAATGATCAGACATTGCCTTGCTCATGAGGGGGAAAAAAAGTTTACAAACAAAACATCAGGAAGATAAGACATCTGATAAGACCCAGATAACATTCCCAAGCTCTGCTCTGGCGCAGGGCCTGCCGGGCTCTGCCAGAGCTGTACCCCTGGCTCCCCACAGGCAGAGAGGCGAGCTGTGAGGGCACCCTCCGGGCCGTGGACCCTCCTGTGAGGCATCACAGCTATGGGCGCCATGAGGGGGCCTGGATGAAGGACCCTGCTGCCAAAGATGACAGGATCTATGTCACCAACTACTACTATGGGAACAGCCTGGTGGAGTTCCGCAATCTGGACAACTTCAAACAAGGTTAGGGGCCTCCCGAGGGAGAAGAGGGGTGGCCTGGGGAGGGTCTCCTATGGGAACTTGGCCCTCCTTTGCCTTGTGGTTTCAGAATTCCCCAGCCTGGCCCAGCTCCAAATGCTCAGCACCCCAAGCTGGGGAGTCTGGGGGCACCCTGATTGAGCTGGCCCCCTTCCAGAAGCTGAAATGCAGCAGCAAACAAGATGGATGTGGTCCTGCCCTCAGGGGTGTGACTCACGGTCAAGGGAACAATACTTAGAATTTCCACTTGTAAACTGCTTACTATGTGCTAATCACCTCTTGTGAGTCAGCTCTAGGAGGTTGGGGTTACAACCCTGTTTTACAGGTGAGCAAGGCCCCAGGCCTTAGAGGACCTTCAGGTCTGGACAAGAAGGTTAGGGAAGGGCAGGAAGAATTTTAGCTTAGATCTGGGGCAAGATGCGGGTGAGGGGGTGATCTAGACATGACTTGTCCTCCAGAAATCACCCGTGAAATTAAAGAAATAATTTCAGTACAATGTTAGAGGGAAAGCTCAAGAACCCCACCTGGAGATCAGGCAAGACTTCCCAGAGGAGGTGATGCTAGGCGGAGCCCTGAAGGAAGAACAGGAGTAAGCCATGCTGAAGGGAGAGGGAGGGAAAGGTATTCCAGGCAGAAGAACCAGTGTGCACAAAGGTCTGGCAGTAAGAGAAAGCACAGTGGCACAGAAGGAAGGTGAGGGGGTAAGGAAGAGAGCGCAGGCTGAGGCAGGCCCTGTGAGCCACACGAGAGAGTTTGGACTTACCTGACCTGGTCCCTGCCTGGACTGGCTCACATGCTAGTGCGGAGGAAGCCAGTGAGAAGTACCAAGACAAGAGTTACGGGAGGCTAGAGGAGAGGCCCTCACTCAAGCCTGGGGAAGTCAGGGAATGCTTCCAGGAGGAGGTAACTGGCTGAAAGATTGGGAGGCATTCCCCAGGCAGACAGAAGGAACAGCATGGGCAAAGGCCCCAAGACAAGGGCTAGTGTCTGCCCAAGTCTAAATCCTGGCTGTGCCATTACATAACTGGGTGACCTTCAACCCAGGGAGCCTGTTTCCTCCTTGGCAAATGGGGCAATAATAGTACCTCCCACATGGGACTGTTGATGGGACATGATAATTAGCCCAGCTCCAGGCCCATGGCATACTCAGTCTCCGTTGTTTGCTGGGCCACTCCAGAGAGCCCTGGGCGGCCTTGCTGGTTCCTGGGGTGGGCTGGGGTTGGCAGGGAGGCGGTGGTGTGACCGTCGCCCTCCACCCGCAGGCCGCTGGAGTAACATGTACAAGCTGCCCTACAACTGGATCGGCACAGGCCACGTGGTGTACCAGGGTGCCTTCTACTACAACCGTGCCTTCACCAAGAACATCATCAAGTATGACCTGCGCCAGCGCTTCGTGGCCTCCTGGGCACTGCTGCCCGACGTAGTGTATGAGGACACCACACCCTGGAAATGGCGTGGCCACTCAGACATTGACTTTGCTGTGGACGAGAGTGGCTTGTGGGTCATCTACCCTGTGGCGGATGACCATGACGAGGCCCAGCCTGAGGTGATCGTGCTGAGCCGCCTGGACCCCAGCGACCTCTCCGTGCACCGCGAGACCACATGGAGGACCCGGCTGCGGCGGAACTCCTACGGGAACTGCTTCCTGGTGTGCGGCATCCTGTACGCCGTGGACACATACAACCAGCAGGAAGGCCAGGTGGCCTATGCCTTTGACACGCACACGGGCACTGATGCCCACCCACAGTTGCCCTTCATCAACGAGCATGCCTACACCACCCAGATCGACTACAACCCCAAGGAACGGGTGCTATATGCCTGGGACAATGGCCACCAGCTCACCTATACTCTCCACTTCATAGTCTGAGCAGGACCTGTACTCACAGTGAGGAGTGGCTGTGGGCCAGGCCTGGGGCTGGTACCAAGTAGCACCCAGGGGAGTAACCACTTCCACCTGCACAGCACTGTGCCAAGAGCTTCACCGGCACTAACCTACTTAGTCCTCCCAACAACTGTAGAGGAAAAGAGTCAAGCCCATTTAAGAGATGAGGAGCCCGAGGCTCAGAGAGATAACCCTTGCCTGAAGGGCCTCGGTTTGGGTTCAGGCAGGCCAGCAGCACATTTTACAGATGAGGGGGCCTAACCACGCTCTCCTCTGCCCCCAGCCCTTTCCTCTCTTTTTCTCTCAACTCTGTCTCCCCTCCTGGGGCTACTCAGAACCAGAGGCCTTTGGGACTGAGGGACTAGCGTTGGGTGGAGGCCCGGCTCTCTGTGTCACCCAGGCCCCCGTTTGGGCTGAGCTGTTGGTGGCCCTGGGCTTTAGTCCCTTTAGCTCATGTCCCTGCTCCTTGCCTTTGGCCAGCACCCCCCACCCCACCCTGCTCACTGTCCAACCACATTCCAAACCTCCATGGTCACCCAGCCACGGAGCAGAAACCACACCCCAAGAAAAAATAGCGGCCCCCGTTCCAAGATCCCCCTCCCTCTGTACTCATTTTTATTTTCCCTTATTCTTCCTCAGTGTCGTCATTTGTTTCTACATGAGCAGCTGAGAAGGCTGCAGACAGCTGCCCACCAGCAGCAGCTCTACCAGGGGGAGGAGCTGGCCAGGCCCTGAGGCTCCCTCTCCACCCAGAAGTGCAGGCTTTGGCCACATACCCAACCTGTGGGACCTCTCCCCAGCTCCTCCCAGAGCCTTTGAGCCTGGGATCCACCTTGGTCTTTCTCTCTGGGCCTTTGAACCCACAACTTACACTATACTCAGGGATAGCCCCAGGTCAGCCATGAGCAAGAGCATAGGCCCAAGGCTGGGTGGTACCAAAACGAATAGTTTCCCTTTCTTGTCAGTCCTGCCCTGGTCATTTGGTGGGATGACCCAGCAGCCTGAGGGGCTGGGGGAGGCTGAGACCTGAGTAGTAGGTCCAGGGGAGGCATCGGACCTTCTGGCTACAAGGAAGGGCCGGAGGGTTGAAAAGCTGGGCAGGAAGGAGAAGCGGGTCTGGGCCTGGGCTTTTCCTGGCTTCAGAAATGGTGGTGCCAGGGCTGCCCTGCACCCAGGTCTTGGGGCTGAGGATGCACAGATGCGCCACCCAGCCTGGTGCTGCTGATGGCTTTCTGAGCCTCAGACCCCAGCGGCCCAGAGGACAAGACCTTCAAGCCTGCCCCTCATTGGCTTTAGGCAGTTTTTAGAGCTGGGAAGAAGTTCTCAAGTCCAACTCCCTGTTTCATCAGAGGAGAAATAGACCCAGAAAGGTTTGGAGAGTGTGTCAGGTTTCCACAGTGGGAATAGGACACAGCCGATCTCCTTCTGGAAGGGCTTTGTCTATATCCTTTATTCTCCCAGCTCAGAGGCAACTTTGCCTGGGAAGGTGGTAGGTAGACTACCCAGCACTCAAGCCATCCCAACACCTTTGAATGGTATTTACTGCTGATCCCAATATAACCCCCTGACCTGCTCTCTCATTCCGGTCCCATGCCAGCTCCCAGATATCTGTATATTTGCCCATCCAGCTGCCATGTTAGAAAATTCAGCTGCATACCCAAGAGTGTAAGGAAATGCATTTTGTGCCGAATGTATTTCTCTTATATATTGTCAGGTGGTGATATTATGTTTAAGCTGAAGCTCACCCCTGAAATGAAGGGGAATGATGACAGCCAGCCAAGCAAGGCCTGACTCACAGCAGTGGGTGCATCCAGCCTCCCCCACCCTGCCAGCCACGAGCTCCATTTACACACTCTTCAGGGGGCTGTGTTTCCCTTGGCCCTGGGTGTGGGTTTTATAAGGCTGTCTTTTGTGATATCATAGCCCAACCATGTGAGAAGTGTTCAGGCTCCTCTTCTTCCATTAGTCTGAGAAAAGGGAAAGTCAGAAAGGACCAATTTTGGAAAATCAAAGGACAAGCAAATTGTTTTCTGGGGGAGATGATGCTGGCTGCAGCCTCCAACCATTCACTAAGCCCCTTCTGTTTTTAGGTCCTTGAATGTGGGATATGTGGTAAGTAGTTATTTTCCTCATTTCACAGATAGTCAAACTAGAGCTCAGAGAAGTCACCTGTCATGTAGGCAATTACATGGAGAGCCAGGTTTCACAATCAGGTAACCCAACCCTCATCACTGACTGAGCATCAGTGGTGTGCTAAGTGTGCCACATGTGTATTCTTGCATCTGTACAACAGTGAAAGGTATACACTCCGAATGTGCCCATTTAACAGATGAGAAGACTGAAGTGAAAGGACTTGCCCAAGGTCGCACAGCAGCTTAGTCTGTGGCAGAGTTAGGGCTTCAGGGCTGGTCAATGCATGTTCTTCACCAACTGTGTGCTACTCTAGAAGCAGCTCCAGAAAGGGTGGCTATTGCTTTTATTCAGTGTGGCCAGGCCACATACTGGATCCACACAGGAGCGAGCCCTAAGGATGATTGGGTCAGTGTGTGAAAAGTCCTGAGTGCCAAGCCAAGAAGTGCCTCCAATAACATTTGAAACATAGTCAAGTATAAATTAAGAGTTGAGTATAAGTCAACAGAATATAAAATTGTAAGACAATTAGGTTTTGTCCTGTCGGTGATGAGAGGCAGCGAGGGTTTTTGCTGTGGTCTTTATTATGTTTGGCAACAGGCATTTCAAACAAAGCAGGGCCTGGACTAGGGAGGGCCAGTGTTTCTTACCAACCTTGGCTGTAAGGGCAGAGGAAGCTGTCTCTGGTGTTTCTGAACAAGATACATGAAGGGGTTTTGGCCGGCACCTTTGATTCCTGCCTAGAGATTTCCAGGCCTTAATATTTAATCTACTCTGGGGAGGAAAGTAAGGGGAACTCTGCCTTGGCAGGCAGCCATAAAGCTCAGGCCAGGGGAGTTTGCTGGAGATGATCTGAGAGTTCCGGAAAGCCCTGTGTTCCAAAGCATCTTGTCCTCTACGACAGCACTGGAAACCACTCCAGGGGCAGGAAAGCACAACACTGGATGGTTGTCAGGGGGCTCTGGATGGGAGTCAGAGAGTCCTGGGCTGGAACCAGCCCTACCTCTTACATGCTGCATGCTTGGTGGGGTAGGGACAGACAGAGGGGACACATACCATCGCCCTTTTATGGCTGAACACCTGCAGCTTGGTGAGGACAAAGAGCAGCTGAGAGCCCAAGCAGCACCCTTCTAGAGCTGGAAGTCACCACCCAGGAGCCCCCAAAGTCAGTATTAATTTTCCCCATTATAGGTGATAAGCCTCAAATTCAGTGAGGTTAAGCAACCTGCTCAGGGTCACAAATGTAACTAGTAGAATCAAGATTTGAACCAAGTCTGTTTTTAGACCAAAGCCCCAAATTAACATTGTTAGAAATCATGTAACCAGTCATGTTTTCTTTTTTGCTTTTTGGCTGCTGGGAAGCTCAAAGTCAAATTTGAGAATATTTTATTTTTAGCAATGGAACTGAGTCTCCTACAGGACTCTGGCTTTATTTTAGCTTTCTGCTTTTACCTTTACGCTGATCTCTTTATTTTTATCCTACTGTGTTTCATCTCTTTGTGTAAATTGCCACAATATGTTTTTTGCAAGAAGGTGGCATGTATCTAAATAAATACATGATCAAAAGCTTGATTTAAAAGTCTTCACTAAATGTTATGGTCTGCATCCTTATCATAACACATATATTTAATAACTTTTAAAAAATATTTGTTAAGGGTGGAGAAGGAAGATTAAAGATGGTGGCATGAATGGTGAGACAGAGTCCTCTTCCCAAAACCACATTTAATATGAAAATATAGTTAATACAACTAATCCTGAAAGAGCAACAGGAAAGAAGGCTGTGCCATACTGCATACACCTGGAGAAAAGAACAGACCTCAGGATAACGTACCAAAGCCATGATCTGGCAGGACCCAAGTCCTTCCTCCACCCCAGCTCACTGGTGGGAGGAAGAGAAATGGAGCAGGGAGGGGGTGGAGGCCAAGGACTGCCAAACACAGAGCCCTGGAGATCTGCTCTGGGAGCACGAACCTACATTGCATGGTGCTCTGGAGATTAGTGGTGTTGGGAAGCTAAGACAGGCAGAATACTTGGAGAGACTGAGACTGCAGTCGCTTGTGGAAGACAGAGATCCACATCCAGCTGCTCTGGGACAAAAGAAAGGTGGGTAGCCTGAGAGACTTCCTAACAGTGAGACGGCTGCAAGGGGCAAAGATTGCACAGAACTTGCTACTCAGGAGAAAGGACAGGTAGACAAAATTGTCTGGGCGCACTCTGCCCAGGAGGTTGGGAACTTTAAGGAATTTCAGGCGCTCCATCCCTCTGGGTGGCTACACAGCTCCAAGGTCCCCCACTGTGATACACAGATTGCTGCAGCTTCTTCCAGGCCAGCCAGCACCAGCTCACAAACCAGCAGCCCCTGCCCTGGTGTCAGGCCAGCCAGAGAGAGGCCCTGCCTATGATAGCTACAAACATAAAGCATAGAGGCTTACACCTGTGTGCTTGGCCCACTGGTTCTGCCAGTGGAGACAGGCACAGCAGCCAGGAAGCAGGAAACAGCTCTTTCCTCCCCCCAGGCACCAGTGCTGCTTCCCTGCGACCCCTGACATCACTCCAGGGGCTGAGAAGCTCCAGAGAGTAGAGCTTCTGGACACTAGATGGTGCCACATACAAATATAAAACATCGAAGGAACGTGGTTCAAACCAAAATCCCACAAACACCAGAAAAAGATCTAAGTAAAACTGAACTCATCGATCTTCCTGAAAAAGATTTCAAAATAAAAATCATAAACATACTTATGGAGGTTCAGAAAAATATTCAAGAACTCAGGGACAAATTTAGGACTGAGATTCAATCATTAAGGAATTCAATATCTGAAATGAAACATACAATGGAGGGACTTAAAAGCAGATTACACGTAGTAGAGGAGATGGTAAGTGGAATAGAAATTAGAGAAAAGGAATACAAAGAGGCTGAGGCACAGAGAAAAAAAAGGATCTCTAGGAATGAGAGAATATTGAGAGAACTGTATGACCAATCCAAATGCAACAATATTTGCATTATAGGGGTACCAGAAGAAGAAGAGAGAAAAATGGATAGAAAGTGCCTTTGAGAAAGTAGTTGCTGAAAACTTCCCCAATCTGGAGAAGGAGATAGTCTCTCAGGTCATGGAGCTGCACAAATCTCCCAACAAAGGGGCCCAAAGAAGACAACACCAAGACACATAATAATTAAAATAGCAAAGATCAATGATAAGGACAGACTTTTTAAAGCAGCCATAGAGAGGAAAAACATCACATACAAAGGAAAACCCATCAGAAACTTCTCAACAGAAACCTTACATGCCAGAAGGGAGTGCATGATATATTTAATGCAATGAAGCAGAAGGGCCTCAAACCAAGAATACTCTACCTGGCAAGATTATAATTTAAATTTGAAGGAGGGATTAAAGAATTTTCAGATAAGCAAAAGCTGAGAGAATTTACCTCCCACAGACTGTCATTACAGTCTATTTTGGAGGGACTGCTGTAGATGGAAGTGTTCTTAAGACAAAATAGCTGTCACCAGGGAAAACAAAATCACAGTAAAGAACGTAAAAGAATTAATTACTAAGAAGATGCAAAATCAAATCAACCACCCCCAAAGTCAGTTAAAGGATAGACAAAGAGTACAGAATATGATACCTAAAATGTAAAAAAGAATGGAGGAGGAAGAAAACGGAGAAAAAAAAGAACCTTTAAATCATGTTTCTAATAGCATACTAAGTGGTTAAATTAGACTGCTAGATAGTAAGGAAGTTACCCTTGAACCTTTGGTAACCACGAATCTAAAGCCTGCAATGCAATAAGTACATACTTGTCAATAATCACCCTAAATGGTAAATGGTCTGAATGCACCAATTAAAAGACATAGAGTCATGGAATGGATAAAAAAACAAGACCCAACTATATATGCTGCCTACAAGAGACTCACTTCAAACCCAAAGACATACACAGACTAAAACTGAAGGGATGGAAAAGATATTTCATGCAACTAGTAGGGAGAAAAAAGCCAGTGTTGCAGTACTTGTATCAGACAAAATAGACTTCAAAACAAAGAAAGTCACAAGAGACAAAGAAGGATATTACATAATGGTAAAGAAGTCAGGCCAACAAGAGGATATAATCATTACAAATATCTATGTACCCAACACAAGAGCACCTACATATGTGAAACAAATACTAACAGAATTAAAGGGGGGAATAGAATGCAATGCATTCATTTTAGGAGACTGCAACACATCACTCACTCCAAAGGACAGATCAGCCAGACAGAAAGTAAGTAGAGACAGAGGCACTGAACAACACATAAGAACAGATGGACTTAACAGACATCTACAGAGCACTCCACCCAAAAACAGCAGGATACACATTCTTCTCAAATGCACATGGAACATATTCAAGACTAGATCACATACTAGGCCACAAAAAGAGCCTCAGTAAATTCAAAAAGATTGAAACTGCACCAACCAGCTTCTCAGACCACGAAGGTATGAAACTAGAAATAAATTACACAAAGAAAATGAAAAACCCACAAACACATGGAGGCTTCACAACATGCTCCTAAATAATCAATGGATCAATGAACAAACAAAACAGAGATCAAGCAATATATGGAGACAAATAACAACAATAATTCAACACTGAAAAATCTGTGGGATGCAAAGGCCATGATAAGAGGGAAGTACATTGCCGCAACACAGCCCTACCTCAGGAAAGAATAACAATCCCAAATGAACAGTCTAAACTCACAATTAATGAAACTAGTAAAAGAAGAACAAATGGGGCCCAAAGTCAGTAGAAGGAGGGGCATTATTAGTAAAGATTAGAGCAGAAATAAATAAAATTGAGAAGAATAAAACAATAGAAAGAATCAATGAAAGCAAGAGCTGGTTCTTCAAGAAAATAAACAAAACAGATAAACCAGACTTACCAAGAAAAGAAGAGTCTACATACACAAACAGAATCAGAAATGAGAATGAAAAAATCACTACGGACACCAGAGAAACACAAAGAATTTTTAGAGAATACTATAAAAGTTACATGTTAACAAACTGGATAACCTAGAAGAAATGGACAGCTTTCTAGAAAAATACTACCTTCCAAGGTTGACCCAGGAAGAAACAGAAAATCTGAACAGACCAATCACCAGCAACAAAATTGAATTGGTAATCAAAAAACAACCTAAGAACAAAATCCCTGTACCAGATGGCTTCACTGCTGAATTTTATCAAACATTTAGTGAAGACCTAATACTCATCCTTCTTAAAGTTTTCCAAAAAGTAGGAAGGAATACTTCCAAACTCATTCTATGAGGCCAGCATCACTCTCATACCAAATCCAGGCAAAGAAACCACAAAAAAAGAAAATAAAAGACCAATATCCCTGATGAACATGCAAAAGTCCTCAACAAAATATTAGCAAACCAAATTCAAAAATACATGAAAAAGATCATCCCTCATGATCAAGTAGGATTTATTCCAGGGATGCAAGGATGATACAATATTCAAAAATCCATCAATATCATCCACTACATCAACAAAAAGAAGGACAAAAACCACATGATCATCTCCATAGATGCTGAAAAAGCATTTGACAAAATTCAACATCCATTCATGACAAAAACTCTCAACAAAATGGGTATAGAGGGCAGGTACCTCAACATAATAAAGGCCATATATGATAAACCCACAGCCAACATCATACTGAACAGTGAGAAGCTGAAAGCTTTTCCTATGTGATCGGGAACAAGACAGGGATGCCCACTCTCCCCACCTTTATTCAAGATAGTTCTGGAGGTCCTAGCCATGGCAATCAGACAACACAAAGAAATAAAAGGTATCCAGATTGACAAGGAAGAAGTTAAACTGTCCCTGTTTGCAGATGACATGATATTGTACATAAAAACCCTAAAGATTCCACTCCAAAACTACTAGAACTAATATCTGAATTCAGCAAAGTTGCAGGGTACAAAAGTAATACACAGGAATCTGTTGCATTCCTGTACACTAATAATGAACTAACAGAAAGAGAAATCAGGAAAACAATTTCATTCACAATTGTATCAAAAAGAATAAAATACCTAGGAATAAACCTAATGAAGGAAGTGAAAGACCTATACCCTGAAAACTACAAGACACTCATGAGAGAAATTAAAGAAGATACCAATAAATGGAAACACATCCTGTGCTCATGGATAGGAAGAATTAATATTGTCAAAATGGCCATCCTGCCTAAAGCAATCTACAGATTCAATGCAATTCCTATCAAAATACCAACAGCATTCTTCAACGAACTACAGAAAATAGTTCTAAAATTCATATAGAATCACAAAAGACCCCAAGTAGCCAAAGCAATCCTGAGAAGGAAGAATAAAGTGGGGGGGGGATTATGCTCCTTGACTTCAAGCTCTACTACAAAGCCACAGTGATCAAAACAATTTGGTACTGGCACAAAAATAGACCCATAGACCAATGGGGCAGACTAGAGAGCCCAGATATAAACCCAAGCATATATGGTCAATTAATATATGATAAAGGAGCCATGGACATACAATGGGGAAATGACAGCCTCTTCAACAACTGGTGTTGGCA